ACACACACACACACACACACACACACACACGCCACGCCTTTCATCCCGGATGCTCACTGCCAGTCTCCCCGTCCCCGGGTTCTCAGCTCCAATTTAGGTCTGCAAACACCAGCCACGCCTCCAGGACTCAGTCCGCGTTTCGCGCCCAGAGAGTGGCCCTTGTTCCCCGACCGGGTCTCGAAACTCATGCCCAGCCTCGTTCGCCCCCACCCTAGCCGGGCCGCACCAGCAACATGGCCACGAAGGCCACCGCCATGAGCACGGTCTCCACCACGATGAGGTTTTTGCTCCGCGGTAGCGTTCGCAGAACCGTCTTGTTGAAGCCGTTGAGGATGCCTTGGCTGTTAGTGCCTGTGAAGTGTGAGTTCGGACATCGTGAAGCCGGAGCAGGGCGCATGGTCATCTCGGCCACAAAAATACAGCGAGGTGGCATTGGAGGCAGCGTGGAGGGGTCAGGTGAGGTCAGTGCCAGCAATGGGTTCCCTTGGGGAGCAGTTTGAAGCCTAGGAACACTGGGGCTGGCTGTGCCCAGGAGGGTCGGGAAGAGCAAATGTGACTTCTCGCTCTACTGTCGAGTCTGGGAGAGGGGCACCAGTCACCTCCCACCTCTATACCTTCACCCTGCACTGACCACACCCTGGGCCCCAAGGAATCTCACTGGCAGCCTCCAGATGAGGGAGGTGAGCAGAGTTGGGGGACCTCAATCCCCCATATGAGGACTGACCACAGCTGTGAACGTTGAATAGTGTGTGGTTGAAGTCATACAGGTAGTAGTTCAAGAAATAAATCATAGGCAGCTGGGCACAGGCGAAGCTCAGCTGTGGATGAGAAGGCAGATAGGGGCTGACTCAGACACAAATCCAGGTATGAGGCCCCAGCATGATCTGGGGAGGGATCTGGGCACAGTCTTGATAGGACAGGAGACCTCAGACATTTGGGGACAGCCCAGTAGTGGTGAGATGCCCAAAGAGGGATGATTTCCTTCTGGTCCACACTGGAGACAGGAAGGGATAAGGTCTCTGTTGCTAGAGGTAAGCAAACGGACTGTCTCAGGAAAGGGAGGGAGGAACGCAGTGGGTGGGGGGCCTAAGACAACAGTGTGCGTTCCAATAGGTGGATCCTTGGCCTAAAATATCATCACCCACCACCACCCAGGACCCCAGGCGGCACTCACATGGAAGAAGCTATAGAAGATGGCTTGGAAAACCAGGAGATAGGGTGCGTGGGAGCCCCGCGGTGGGCGCTGCTGGGGTCCCTGCTCCTCCTGTTCCTTGTAGTGGGAATACTCATAGTACTTCTGTGCCATCCTGGGCCACAAAGGAGCAAAGGCTGTCCCTGGTCCAATCTCTGCCCTGCCTCCACTGCCTATACCCAAGGCTACAAACCAGCCAGCCCCAGTGGAGAAACTGAGGCCCAGGAGGTGGAAGGGGTTTGCTCAAGGTCGTCCAGCAGAGGCTGGCAAAGCAGCAGAGACTCAACCCAGTTTCCAGACTCCCACCCCATTACCCACCAGGCTCACCTGGTGATGTAGTTGCCCATGGAGGCCCAAAGAGGCACGATGGCCATGCCCAGGGCCACAGCAGAGGGCACAAGTGTATAGTAGCGTTCCCAGTAGTTGGTGGAGACAAAGAGGGCGTAGATGCCCACAGCCAGGAACATCATCCACTTGGTGCCAAAAAACCTGCAGACAGCAGAGTGACACTGGCGCTACAGACTGCTGTGGCCTGAAACCATAAAGGGCCCCCACCCCATGTCCCGGCTCCCTATGCCAGTGTGAAGCAGGGAAGAATCCAGGCCAGGGAGTCAAGGGCCTAAAGATGGAGTCTCAGAGACTAATGGACTCAGGTGACCTCCTGTGTCCACACACCTCAGTCTTCATAGCTGTAACATGGGCACAAGCCCAAACCATAAGCCTCTCCCAGGAGATAAAACGGGGGAAATCAGTGGCCCATGGGCACACCCAACCTTCCTGGGCTCTCTGACTCTCCAATCTGTTTCTTCTCCCTGGCGTATGTCCTGACTGTAGGCCCCAGCAACACACTCAAGGATCTAGACCAGACTGAGAAAGGAAGAGGCCCATTTGGGTGAACTGCAGACCTAAACCCCTGGTTCCTCTTCCTCCCTGTCTATTGCTCTTGGGGTCTACTGTGGTCAACTGGGAAGTTTCTGCCTCTCTGGGTCTGAGAAAAAGTCTCACAGTGACAATGGAAGTGGCCTGATGAATGACAGGACCCAATCAAGCACAGAGGTTGATCAAGCTAAAACCAACTCCTAGCTTCTTCAGATTTTCTTCATTTGAAATCATTAGTTCCTTCTTTTTGTCTTAACTTCCAGGAAGTTCAAAACTAAACAGCCTGATTTTCTGATTCTTTTTAGTATCTTTATTTTGCATCCTCTGATCCATTTAGGATATTGATGGTGCAAAACAGCAAAATGTAAAAATGCCAGTCCACACTAATGGCTGGTGAGGGTAGAGTTTAAAAATGTCACACATAGCCAGGGCCTTACAGACTGGCCTGTTTCTGGAGAAGCACCCTGGCGGTTTGGGCAGGGAGTGATCGTGTGAGTTTCAGTCACTTCCACAGGCTGAACTCTGCAGTCAGCCAGTTGCTGCGGCAGAACTAGAGTGAGCTGTTTCACTGCAAGTTTTCCCTCTGGTGACAGAAAATTCTGAGTTGAGGGCCGTGAAACAGCATAGCACTCCCAAAGTGGCAGACACACAGGAAATGAAGTAAAAGGGTTAGTGTTATAAAAGCCATAGGTTTCAAGAGCCATAAATCCTTTCATTTTCCTTTGACCTAGTGAGGGCACTATTCTAGAGGGAAATTTTGTTTTTTTAATTTTAAAAAGAAGGAAAGAAAGCCAGCCACAGTGGCATGTGCCCGTAGTTCTAGTTACTCGGGTGGATCAGGTGGGGAGATCGCTTGAGCCCAGGAGTTAGAGATCAACTTGGACAACACAGTAAGATTCCATCTCAAAAATAAAAATAAGCCAGGGATTAGCTCAATGGTTCCCCCAACTGCTTCACAAGCACAAGGACTGGAGTTCAATCCCCAGTACCAAAAAAAAAAAAAAGAACATCAAGGGCCAGGCCTTGTGGCATATGCCTGTAATCACAGCACTTAGAAGGCTGAGGCAGGAGGGTGGAAAGTACAAGCCCAACTTGTACTTACTTGCAACTTGGACAACTTACTGAGCTCCTGTCTCAGATATGAAAAATATTTTTTAAAAAGAACTGAGGATGGTAACTCAGTGTGAAAACTCTGGGTTCAGCTCCCAGTACCACAAAAAAATTATGAATATTTTTTAAATGAGCCTTGCACACACGTGCTCTAGCAACAAGGATGTGAACTTGATCTGTACATGTGGGTGAAGCAGTGGACTCAGATGATTTCCTGGAGGGTTTAAGAGGGGTTTTCTTGTTTCTTATTTGTTATGATGATCAAATGCTGTGTGTGAAACTGACAAAGGAGACAAGAAACAGAAAGGAAGGAAGGAAAAAAGAAACAGAGAGGGAGAAGGAGAGAGATGGCAAGCTAAAATCCACCCCGTTTGTCCACGGACCTCCTGGTCCCTCAGGGAGGGTGCTGTGGGGGATCTGGGGCCCACATGCCACAAGGCTCAGGTCCAGGGCAGACCATCAGGGGCACAAGCCCGGCCACACCCCTTTCTGTGAGCAGTGACCCTCTATGCTGGTCACAGCTGATTGGGCCAGAGGCGGGTGCCTGGGCTCTGTTGGTTGATATGATTCAGTCTGGGGACTGAACAGCCCAACCCAGGTCACAGTGAGTCTGGCCCACCACAGAGGCCACAAGGAGGAAGCTAGCCCGGACGAAGCAGCCTGCTTGAATTTCTTACTTGAAACCCAATGCGGGGGCGTCTCACTGTCTCTCATTTCCTCCCCCAAACCCGGGCTTTTACATTCCTGGGCAGCTGAAGATCTCAGGGTCTAACAGCCTCTGCATCCCGCGAGCTCAGGGTTACAGCCCAGCCCACATGGGGACAGTACCTGATGAGCACAGGCGTGTAGAGCAGGGCGGCGATGGGCGTCACGTTGATGCCCATCAACATCTTGTTGTCGATGTCGGGCAGCCCCATGTTGCCGTACTTCACCTCACGGTAGGTCTCATCGTAGTGCAGGATCAGCTGCATCTGCAGGAGGCCTGGGGACAGGGAGCGACATGGAGGGAGCAGCCTAGCTCAGGGGCAACCTGGCAGAGCGGGAGTGCAAGTCTTGCGGGGAGCTGCCCATTCCAACAAGGTTTTAAGGACCGGTGGGGACTAGGACGTGCCCCACCCCCGCCCCCAGAAGGCGGTGGCTGGGAGCCGCCCCCTTCCCGCTCTGCTTGGGGCCGCCGCAGCTACCAGCGCGGCGAACTGGGAAGTGAAAGGGGAAGGAGGACGGGCGGCCGGCCCAGGTTTCTCTTTCCCGCTCTGAGTCCGGGAGGGCTGGGGGCAGCCGGCGCCGCCCCCGC